GCATTATTTTTAAAGCCCATAAAAAGCACAAAAAATAAGCCCAGAAAAGTAGTAAAAATACTTCATTGAATGAATGTTTTGCTAAGTTACGGTTAACTTAGCAAAGTCTTAATTATTTACCAAATGGTCGGAGCACAATAAAAAAACGAAAAGTGGCCGAAAATAGCACACAATGAGCACAATAATACGAACAAATTTTTCTCTTCATTTTTTCATTTTAGCGCCGCTAACTTGATTGAGCTTGAACTTGAAGCTGCTGATGCTGTTAATGCTACTGGCGCGGATGTGCCCGCCTCTCCTTCTCCTACCCCTTGGCGGACAGTGGAGAGCAAAAGAAGGAAGCAAAGTCGTAAGCCGGTGCGTGTGGTTGGATCCAATGACTGCAGTGATCTAGGTGTTGCAACTCCATTTAAGTGGTTGCATTTGTCATCTTTCTTGCCAGGCCAGTTTCTTGTGATAACATTATTGAGTACGTGGGGAACCACACTGGCATTGATAAGCGACGCATTTCTTGCTACAAGCTCGTTAAAAAAGAGTCGAATCTGGAATCACTAACACACGTGAATTTTTAGCTTGGTGTCTGCTGTGAAGTAGCTCATGCGCCCTCGTGTAGTTGTTTATCATCAGAACCAGCTGACAATACAAAGCCAGTCGATAGCACTGTTAGTGTGGTTGCACATAGTAAAATCAAAATTTATTTTCAAAATGTTTCTGGAATGAGAACTAAAGCTGATGTAGTCCGTAGAGTGAGCTCACATTTGGATTTTGACATATTCGTCATCGTCGAAAGCTGGTTAACACCTAATTTCTTTGGCTCAGAATTCTTCGATCCCGATTTATATAATGTTTATNTCCTAATTTCTTCTTTTCTATGACTCAGAATTCTTCGATCCCGATCTATATAATGTTTATCGTAAGGATCGCGACGAAATCAGGTCGGGCCTGTCCAGAGGCGGGGGAGTGCTTATAGCAGTTCAGCGTAAATTGTGCTCGTCGATGGTTCATCCTCAAAATAATGATTCTATCCTCGAGCAGTTGTGCGTAAATGTAGATGAACCAAATCGGACTATAAATACGGAGTTTTTAAATATCTCGACTCCTACGCCACCAGCGGATTGAAGTTTGAAGTTTCAAGTCTTTTGATCATCGGAAATTAGGTTAAAAATTTTTTGCAAGAATTGACCCAGACAAACATTGCAAGTTAAATAAAAGTTTGCAATAAAGCAAAGAAAAAATGTTCCCAATTCCCTCAAACAATCCTGAATTCATTTGACAGTCGAGAATCAGATTTTGAATTCCAAAAGCTATAAACGAAATTACTTGACTCACCAAAGTTGAAGTAATGAAAAGAATATAAAAACTCATGATTTCCTACTGTATTAAGAATTTACAAAGCCATGAATAAATCCAATACACTGTTTACTTAAATCGCTTTAAAGCATCTTATGACCTTCAACTGCGAATGCCACACCTTTAATCCAGCTAAGGCACTTCAAACTCTTAACTTTAACTTTTCAATTTTGTTAAATTTAAAGTATTTGTAAACTTCTTTGTCGATTACTCAAATACATATTGAGGCGTATTCTTGTTTTCGTTCATGAAATTTTCCTATCACTTTGTATAAAAAAAAAAAATTCAAATTTTCGACTCGCACGAAAACAAGAATACACCCCATTGATTTCTCTTCCATTCTCCTTTTCCACTTGCAGCTATCGAAAAAGTTTCAACAACTTTAAAACAACAACAGCTACAACAGCAGCACCAATAACCGACATCTATACAAAAGCAAAACACAAAAAAAGCATCAACATGTGTCTTTCACAACCGTTAATGAATGCGCTCGCATTTATTTGTTTGAGCGCACTGCTCTGGCAGCATTGCTGTGCTGATATACCGGACAACAGTGCGTATACGCAATATACAAATATACATACATACATATATGCCATACTCATACACACATTTATCACACATAATAACTCACTTTGCATTATTCTCTTTTTTCACCCCCGGCACTCGCACTCGCACTCGCCGTCGCCCTCGTCCTCTCCTCAGATGTCATCAATAATTTGTACGACAATTTACTGCAACGTGAATATGCCGGTCCTGTAGTTTTTCCTAACCATCAGGTCGAACGGAAAGCTCAACGTTCTCCTTCCCTGCGGCTGCGTTTTGGTCGCCGCAGCGATCCGGATATGTATTTGCCCGCCGAGAAACGTTGGTTTGGCGACGTCAATCAAAAGCCAATCCGTTCGCCTTCATTGCGTTTGCGTTTCGGGCGTCGCAGCGACCCGAGCATGCCATTGCACAGCGAATTAGATGCTCTAATGAACGATTTGGCAAGTGTGAGCAACAATGGTGGCATTGCCGATGCAGAGGATGCAACTGCATTTTTTGGCGATGAATATCCAGAGGACATTATGGAGAGCGCTTTTGAGCGTGTTGTGCGTAAGCCACAACGTTTACGATTCGGACGCAGCTTGCCGAGAATACAGAACAATGTTGATGACGAATTAGAGGTAAGTGGAATTTAATGAAACGGAAATGCGAACATATAATTACATACTAATTTATTTGCCAGTTTGAGTAGGCTAGTTTTGGGTAGGTAGAGTGGGTGGCTAGGCTAATGCATAAATTAATAAATTGGTTTTAAAAAGTGATGTTTATTTCAATGATTCAAATTATCAAAATTTCATTCGGTCCTTACTTATAACCTACGAGTACATTTGATAGAAGAGAAATAAATAAGAATTTAAAAAAAGCTAATCTTTGGCCTGAGAGTTAATTTTGTATAGTTACGCCAAATTTCTTCAATAGATTTGGTGTTTTTTTATAACCCGGATATGGCCTGCGCCACTCGTGGTGTCGTTGGAAAGTCCATGTGGAGTAGGACTTTACTTCACTTGGCATTTCCAATTGGCTTCAGTTGGCACAGAAGAGAAACGACTGGTGTACTTTGTTGAACTCGCCCAAAATTGTTAATGCGGTTAGAGCACTAAATAAGAAGAAGAAGAAGTACGGTTGGTTAAAATGTTCATGCTCTTCCAGAAGATCTAACAGCAGATAGATATTCCCTTCTCCCGAAGATAGGTTAGGTTAGGTTAGGTGGCAGCTCCGTGCAACCGCGGCTCACTTGAACAATTTGGAGACTGTCCTTTACAATACCACATTCGGAACGGCACTCAATACTTAATCGATAAAACGTCCCGAACCGGTTATGTTTTAACAAATTCGGAAAATCTCAATGCTCCAGAGCTCCTCGGATCTATTAAGGATGCGAGAGCCAAAGTACCTCAACCTTAGCCTCGCAAAGGCGGGGAACCTAGGAAGGTAGTGTTGTTTCCACCTCGTCATCTTCCCGGCAACTGCGATATACAGGGTCCGACAATATGCTCCGCCTTACTGCGTGAATACCGATTGGACAGTGACCTATTAAAGCCCCCAGTAAAAGTGAGAGATATGCCTTTATGAATTTGAGCAGTGCCCTCGTCCACCCCTGTCCACCCTCGGCCAGAAAGACCTTACGATCGCACATGTCCTGGTTTTCGCCCAGTTCGCGCCGAGCTGACATGAGGCCCATCTATCAAAGAGTGTACCCAGCCGCTCTTTATCAGGCGATAACGTTTTACGAGTGGCTTTCCTGACCAATTCATCAGCCACGCAGTTCCCCTCAATGTCGTTGTGGCCCGGAACCTAAATAAGCCTAATACAGAAGTATTCTGACGAGGCCGAGGGAGAGAGCAGACAGCCCTTAACCAAACTAGAGCGCCAAGTTAGGCTATCAGCAACTCCGGAGCATTGAATCCACCGCCTCCTTGATAGAAGCCACTTCCGCCTGAAATACACTGCAGAGTCTGGAAGCCTGAACTTAGTACTCATAGAGATCCTACCACCAATCCTGCCGTCCAGTTTCGATCCACCTGTGAAGAAGTTCACTGCTCCCCCTCTCCAAAAGCTCCGCGCCCAACCCAATCCCCCTTGAGGGAAAGTGGGCAGTGGCAGTGTGAGAAGCTTCTTGGAGCTATTTCGGTGGCGCAGTAATCCGTACGATCAGCGATGAAAACAAAGCTCCCTAGAAATGCAGAGTGACCAGTCTCAAAGTCGATCATCCAATACCCCACTAATGCTAATTAAAGCAGCCCTTTGTACTCGCTCTAGCTGCTTAGGTAGATTAGCCTTTTCCAGTGAGTTCCACCAGACTATGGCACCTTAAAACATACAGCAAATTGAGGTCACTGATGCCTTCCTTACCCTTTCCTCTATGTTTGGCCTCCAAGGATCAGGTCCAAACATTTGACCTTGTCAGACAGCTGTAAGCGCTGACCTCCAACTGAGGAAAGAACATCGTCGGGGATTTTATACTTGCTAGTGAATAAGACTAGTTCCGTCTTACTGGAATTGATGGTGAGGCCACTTTTGACCGCCCAGTTCGTAACTAGATTAAGATACCGTTGGGTCAATTCATAAAGCGTCTTCAGGTATTTACCTTTAATACACTGAGCCAAAAGCACAACGGTTTTTTCAACCAACTTATGGTTTGATTTTTTCATGGTTAATAAGCCGATTGTAATAAATGTGATTCAAGTTGAACATTTAAGAACTAATTCATATGTATGGCAGTGGCTGAAAGTGCAGAGGTGATTTCTGTTATTTGTTGGGTTCCAGCAGTACGAATGTCGTCAGTGCGACACATAACTTTTATTTTTTTGTTTTTGGTTTTTCTTAATTACGAAAAAGCCTCTGTGAAGTGCAGAATCAAATCAACCGACGAAGAAAATTGATTCAAGTAGAACATTTGAAGGCAGATTTATAAAGCGGCTGTAGCTGAGTTTGCACAGATGCTTGCTGTTATTTGCCAACATTCAGAAGATGCGGGACCAAATCTCGTCAGAGGCAACTTGTTAAAATGATAATAAAAATGTTTGTCTTGCATCTCTGAATTATGAAAAAGCACCTGTGAAGTGCAGAAAATAAACGTATTCAAACGAAAAATTCGGCAACCAAAAGTTCGATTAAAGTAAACAAAAGTGTGGTTTATATTACCAAATCATTGTTGAAAACATCAACCAAGGCATTCTTAATATTAAACAAAAATCACACTGATTAATTTTCAAGCTTGAATTTGGTAATATTAACAAATTTGTGGTTGATTTTTTCTCAGTGTATAAGTGCAACATATTCTGCGTAGGCAATTATCCAACAGCCGTGCTTCTCCAGCTTCTCTATTAGATCGTTCACAACGACGACGCAGAGCAAAGGTGAGAGGACACCACCCTGCGGGTTACCTCTGTTGACCGTGCGGTGTAAGCAGGCGCTGGCCCATATAGCCACGATAGTTCTATTGAGCAGCAAGTCTTGGATTCAACGATTATTCAACGAATTAACTATTGCCTCCGCCAGGACATTATTAAAAGCTCCCTTGATATCGAGAAAGGTTCCTACAGCAAAATTTTTGTGAGTGAAGGCTTCTTCTATCCTCCTCACAATTGTGTGTAGAACGGTTTCTATGCCTACAATAAGCTTGCTGAGTTCTTGGTGGCGATCTCGAGGAATCCCGAGCTTATTTGTAAGAGATAATTTTAGTAGAGGAGCATACAATGCAGCTGGCGGACATTTTTCGAAGGCTTGCCTGCTGTTACGGAGGAATATGCATGATTTCCAAATTTTCCGAAGCTACTTGCCATGAAGATATTGCCATGAGCTATCTTGAGGACCGGCTTAATTGATGTTTGTGGCCTTTGTTCGAGTTGCTGTAGCATCTATGGCACTCCCCTCTGCATTCTGAGGTGATCCATTATTAGGAGAGTACCTAGCGTTGGCACCGATTGCGTAGCTAAATACCAGAAGATGGCTGCTGGGCTTCACCTTTCCCCACCAAAATACAATCCCTAAATCTGAGTTTTGCTGCGATAAATTCTTCTAGGCTAGTCTAGTATGCAGAAGTGCTCCGATATCTGATACCCACTGGAAGATTATACATAGTGTATACAGCATTCTAACAAAAGGCAGAAAACGCTGTCCAGCCTGTAGGTAGACATTTAGAGAGTTTTGGTGGGAAAATGAGTGTTAACTGATACTCCTAGCCTAAGTCACCGTACAAGCACATCAAAGAGGAGAATTCATCTTATGCCTGCAGTGTACTTAACCTAAATTCGACTGATGTCTGCCTTGTAAGCGCAGATGGTTATAGAAGTATTATCTCAGCAATGAAAAATATTTTCAATCCAGTTCCTAATCTATCATGCTTCGCATGGGGCAATATGATATTTTCACCAGCGACAGAAATAGTCATGTATATAAGGAAATAGATCTAAGCCCGCCTAGAACGACCACTGATCCGGCATGTATTCCTAGTCTTAGTGTGGTTTGGATCTTCGTCCACGTTCGTTCCCCCGTTAATCTTTTGAGTGTCTGGCGCTCCATCAGAGCAACGAATTGGGTTAATTTCTAGGATAAAAGCAAGTATTTAAGTAGTCTCAAAATCGATATTTTGAATAACGAAAATCTGCCAGATCTGTTTTTATTTTTATTTCTACTTAATTCCAAGAAATGTTTTTACATCAATCACACAATAAATATTCTAAATCATCCTTTCAGCAAACCCGCGAACAACGCCAACAAACAGAGGACTTTTTCAACTCGCTGCTGACTTCGGAAAAATTACACAACATGTTGCTCTCACTACGTCAATTCGATGGCGAACCTTTGGCTGCTGATGATAATGAATTCCAACGTGAAGTACGCAAACCAGCGCCACTCCGTCTGCGATTTGGCCGTAGCACTGGCGGAAATGCAGAAGCGCAAAAGGTATGCCATGGAGTTGAAGAGTTCTATAAGAATGAAGTAAACTAATTTTGTAATCGATGAATACTCGTTTAAGATTTCTACAATTACAAAACAAAAATTTCTGCATAAAGTTTTTTTTTCTATTTTTATTCACTTTTTGATTTATTTTCTTTGCAGATAGTCACTGCACAAAATGCATTAGATGCGAACAAAAGTGTAGCAGTTGTCGCACCGCCACAACAACACCAACAAGCACAAAATAAAAATTAAATACAGCAAAGTATGTAACCTACAATCCACACATATGTACTTAGAACAATTGGCAACCAAACAAGGAAGGCTAACTGCAGATAGGCAAGGGCGTGAAAAAAGTGTTAAGAAAGAAATTTTATGGTGAGAACGTGCGAAGATAAATTTAATTTTAAATACATACCCCCCGGAAAAAATGCAAAAACTTGTCATAATCTAACCCTATAAATATGCCCATAAAATTTAACGGTAAAAAATATTTAAACTTTAAGCTTTAAAATTGACTTATACTTATATGTATGTACTTATACATTTTCATTTGTTTCAAAGCTGTTGTGCAATGCAGTCTACTCCAGGAAAAAAATTTAAAAATTATTTTTTTTTATCTCACATATGTATGTAGATATGTTTGTACATACATATATTTGGGCAATGCCCTTAAACAACAAAAATTTTAAAACTCAAAACTCAAAAATACTTCATGCATAAATTTTGACAGTTTAGTAAAAGTTTCGAGAATTTCGAGGTTTTCAAGGCGTAGTCCAGTTACAGGAATGCGCCTATTGTATTTTCTAATATTGAAGATAATTTCGCAAAAGTTTTAAATTTCAGTTTATGACTTTAAAATTTTTTTTTTACATATTTCTATTTTTTTAGTGCTAGTTTGAGTAATCTTAATCTTTCTAAATATTTTGTTTTATTACAATTATTACATTCAAGATTAAGTTAGGAGAATAATTTAGTTTAATCTTATTTTTTAAATAAACAGGTATTTTTTTCAAAAGTCAGCTGTTTATTATTTACCTTTTTTTGTTTCACTTACATAATTTAAAAAAATTACAGTTGAAATTCTAAAATTTGGCCCTTTAAAAACAACAAAAAAAAATAGTTATTTTTGCAAAAAATTATTTATTATTACATTTTAAATAGAAAAATTATTTTAATAATGTGTTTTGAATACTTAGATTTTTTTGGCTAAATCATTTTGTTAATTTATTTTTTTATGCAAATTTTCGGAAAAATATTTAGTTCCTTTAATTACGTTTTCGCATTTATATAAAAGAGGAATTCTTCACTGCAAACTTAGAAATCGGTAATGATTGTCAACATTTTTTTTTTGTTTTTTCTTAAATCTTTTCTTTAGTTCACATAAAAAAAATTGTCAATTAAACAAAAATTAGTGTAAGGGCATCTACCTAAGAAAATGAAAATTGTGAAGAAAATTTTCTTAATTTTCTTCGTATATTATTTTATTTTTGTTATGGAAAATTTTTTGAACTAAAATCCCGTTTCCTCGTATTTTTAGGTCATTACAAGCAAATTGTTTCAATATTTGATTTAGTCAGAAACTTTAGTGTCCCAAAAAACTTTGAGAAATTTTTATAACTTTTTTATCTCTCTTTATTTCTTGAAAAATTTGTATATACATTTTTCTTTCAAATTTGCACACTAAAAGTTTTTTCAGTATTTGCTTATTTTAATCAGAAACTGTTGCGCAATGCGGCCTTCCCAAAAAAAGAAATTTGAATATATATTTTGTAGTCCATATTGTTTATATTTTTTTAAATCAACTCCTCAAGTTAAAAAAAAAAACAGTTTAAAGACATTTTTCTTATATTTTTCCTTATAAAAATATTTTGGTTTTAATTATTTTTAATTAACATATAATTTTTTCACTATTTAATTTCATCAAAATCTTTTGTGCAACGCAAATGATTTTAAGATATATTTATAATATTTATTTTGTTTTGCATATAATTTCAAAACTTAGTATATAATTTATTGAAGTTATTCTTTTAATTTCTCACAAAAATTCGGAATTATCTATTATTTCACTCCAATTGAAAAATTCTTAATAACAATAAAATATAATACAATTTTTAACAATTTTTAATGTGTATTAACTTTTTTATTTGTTTTTTCCTATTTTAAAATTCTTTTTACAAAAGCTGGTGCGGCCTCCCCAAGAAAGCAAATCTTTGAAAATGTTAAAATTCTTTTTAATATTTCAGTCCATTTTTTTAATATTTTTTTATTTGTTTTAAATACGTGCTGATACTTTTCAAAACATTAAAGCAATGAGAAAATTGTCTCCTTTAATTATTTTTTGTGACCTTTGTATTCCCGTGTAGTCTACATAGCGAAAATTTTTGTTTCAATTTTTTTTTTACAAATACAATTTTTTTAATAATTGAGTGCATTTAAAAAAATATATATATTTTTAAAACCTTGTTTTACTTATTCAAAAGAAAATTTTTGTTTATATTTTCCATTTCACTTGAGATTAAATATATTTTTTTTACCTTTGTATCCTGTGGCCTACACTTGAGAATAATCTTTTTAAATAGTTCTTAGTATATTTGAAAAAATACTATTTTTTTGGTACTTTTTCCAATAGTTTGAGGTAGAGTTTTCAAATAGGAATTTAACTTAAAAAAATTTTACTTTCTTAAATAACATTTTTTGCTAAATTTCCTTTATAAAAATGCTGGTGTTCTAAGAAAACAATTTTCAAAAATATGCAAACTTTTGTGATAATTTAGTGCACCTCTTAAAAAAAAAACAAGTATTTTTAAATTTTTTTAACTTTTTTCATTAATTGAAGTAAGGTTTTTTTTTATTTTTATCTTTAAAAAAATTGATTATGTACACTTAAGAAAAGGATTTTTCCCTTTTTTGTTTGTTTTTTTATTTTCACTAGTATGAAGAACAGTTTTTTATTATTCAAGTCATTTAAAAAAAAAAATACATTTTTAAATAACTCTTTTGGCATTTTTTTCATACAAATGCTGTGTGGTAAGAAAATAAATTTTTAAAATTTTGTATCCGCGCATTTATTTATTTTAGTAATTTAGTAATACTCTTTCAATTTTTTTAAGTTTTTCTGTGACATCTTAATTTTATGTAAGTACTTTAAAAAACCATTAGCGATTTTTAGTAAAATTATTTAGTGTGAAAGTAAGAACCAAATATGCAGCAACCAAAATAAATATACATATGTATGTATTTAATCGAAATTTAAAAATATATTAAAAACTATTATTAGTAAAAAAAAGTTATAAGCTATTGAATTTGTAAAAGAAAATTAGAAAAAATTGGCCCCCAAAGGAACATTATAACTGAAACTTTACGTATGTAAAAATAAGTAATTGTTTATGTAAAACCTTTTTGCATTCTAAATGCAAAAGTCAATATAAAAATTAATTGTTTAAAAAATATATTTCATTCAAAACAATTAGTGCGTTCAATTAAACATAAAATAAACTAAGAAATGGTGTGTAAAGATGTTAAATAAAAATTATGAAAATTACTACTAAAAATTAAAACTATGAGATTTTCAATTCAACAAAACTGTATGGACTTGGTAAACGCTGAAAGTAAATGAGACCTTTTTTTTCATTTACACCATCAATGAAAATGTAGTTTATGTAAGAAGACATCTAAATAATAGAAATCGTTCGAAAAAAAATTTCGCCGATAAAGTTTTTATTATTTTGCATTAAACTGTTGATCTTATTTTCCAAGTGCAGTAACAAAACCAAACTTATATTAACAAATATACCTATATATACAAATATATACACTTTCAAAATACATATAAATAAGAATTATAAATAAATCTCTGACGAAAACAATTACACGTAAATACCTAAATACTTATATGAATGTGCAATTATTATTAAACCAAATCTTACTAGAGATATTTAAAATTAAGTAAAACAAGCAAATTTAACTATACTTACACACACATACACATTACTTAACGCAAATTGTTAGTATGAAACATTGAAATATAAAAAAGTAAAACTTACAAAATTATAAAACCAAGCTAGTCATTGCGTGAAACAAAATATACAATACATAAATATATACAAAAATTATAAAAAAGACGACAGAGAGAAGAAGTACAAGAAAGAGAAAGTATTTATAAATGTAAATATATATACAGTATATATGAAGAAATGTATACAAAACCTATGAAATTGATTTTATTTGCAAATGCATATAACTAAAATTTGAAAATCCAAAAATCGCAGTACAGTTTTCTTAGCCGAATTTCGCATTCGAAGTTGAAATAAGAAAAAGTGGCAAATAAAATAACATAAAATGCAGTAACAAAGAGACATCAAAAACTTCTACCCTCATAAGGTGACATAAGGAGAGCAGACGAAGGAGAGGGCGCGATTTTTTTTCGGCAGAGAAGCAACACAGCGCAGCTACTTACACAAGAATTTAAGAAAAATTAAAAAAAAAAATATGTCAACCAAAATTTTAACCAGTTAAAAACAGTGAAGATATATAAAATAAAAAACTTACAAAAAAAGAGAACGAAGCCACAAAATATGTTTTATTCGAAGCGGATTAATTTAGCGATCGTTAAGTATTTGCAAGTAAACATCTTGGATTTTTCTAATAGTTTACTTAACTTGATCGTAGACTACCAAATCGTTGAATTTACTATTTACATTACGAAATCTTTATATACATACATACATATGTACATTACGTCCAACTTTTGTATAGGAAAAAAGTCATCCGAGAAACGGGGCCTTTCGAAACTGGCAAAAATATTGGTGATTTTTATAAAAAGTTGCTGTGGCCATGATCCCATACTAACTAATTTTAGATTGCTTGACCGACCTGAATCCAACGAGTACAACCGAACAATAACCGTTCATTGAAATGTTCGAGAGAAGGATTCTGCGGATGATTTAAGGGCATCTGCACCAAGGGAAACCAAGTCCTTCTCCACTTGTTCTTTCCATCGCAGTGGTGCCCCCCCCCCTTCCTCTGCTACCACGAGCGGATTCCGAGTTGAATACTTTCAGAGCTAGAACTTCCCGGCCACAGGGCCGGTAGCGGTGGTACTAGGATACCCCCTCAGATAAATACAAACAGAAATTCACTTGCACTTTCTGAAACTAACAAGAAGGAGGTGGTCAGAGATTCAGACTTGTGCGATAACAGGTAAGCTTTGGCCTTATGAGCTAATAATTAGGTCAAGTGTAGAAGTATGTATTTAGGCTTATACCGAGATATCGCTGGTATCTGCCCGTTAGGAAAACATGCTTATTAGAATAGAACTTCTGCACAGCGAAATGTTCTGCAGCTGGCGCTACAGGGCCCAGGTCTGACTTCCTTAAGGCACACAACTTTCGAGAAACACATAACGAAATTTAGAAATTCATAAGCGATTCAAAGTGGTTTGTTCAAACTTCGACAGTCCGGCTTCGGTAGAATAAAATTTCCCACGAGAAATGTCGCAAAATGGCGCTTTTATGCGCCAATTTTATCTTGAGTGGCAACTTGGGATGCACTACCGCCCATCAACCCGCTTAGGGCCGACGGAATGCAGCACGGACAGTAGTTTCCTAATAAATAGAAGCCTGCT